GGTAGCTGTTATTGTTTTTGTTATTAATACACTTACATATTGTGATGGGAGTCTGTTGTTTCTGAGTTAAATAATTGATGTTTGCCATTTGTTAAAATAATAGAGTGCACGATTAATACACTACAGATTCTTCTTTTTTTTTGTTTATTGTAGTTTAAGTGAAAGTTTACATTTCAAGTTAGTCTCTTATATAAACATTTATACATACATTGTTATCTGACCCTAATTGCTCTCCTTCTACTATGACAGCACACTCCTCCTTTCCTCCCTGGATTTCCGGTGTCCATTCAACCAGCTCCTCAGCCTCTCTTCCTTCGCATCTCGCCTCTGGACAAGAGCTGCCCATTTAGTCTCATGTATCTACTTGAGCTAAGAAGCACACACCTCACGAGTATCATTTTATGTCCCATAGTCCAGTCTAATCTTTGTCTGAAGAGTTGACCTGGGGAATGGTTTTAGTTTTGGTCTAACAGAGAGTCTGGGGGCCATGTCTTCCAGGGTCCCTTCAGTCTCAGTCAAACCATTAAGTCTGATCTTTTTACTAGAATTTGAGTTCTGCACTCCACTTTTCTCCTGCTCCGTCAGGGACTTTCTGTTGTGTTCCCTGTCAGGGCGGTCACTGGTGGTAGCTGGGCACCATCTAGTTCTTCTGGTCTCAGGCAGATGAAGTCTCTGGTTTACGTGGCCCGTTCTGTCTCTTGGGCTAATACTTTCCTTGTGTCTTTGGTGTTTTTCATTCTCCTTTACTCCATGTGGTTGGGACAAATTGATGCATCTTAGATGGCCACTTGCAAGCTTTTAAGACCCCAGACGTCACTTACAGATTCTTTAATTGTGGAGAATGGAGGTATTTTGAAATTAATTCAACCAACCAACATTTATTGAACATCAGCTCTGTATCCTAGGCACTTTGTTTCAGATCTAGTAGGACAGACAAATGTATACACTTACAATTAAAAAGTAATGTAATATAGTGTAATGGATGCTAATTAGAAGAGAGAGCCTTGAGTGTCCAGTTCTGCCTAGAAGTTGAGTGGTGAGTGTCTGTATCTCAGGAAATGCTTCAGTAAGAAGGTATTACATTACCTTCATCTGAATCTAAAGGAATTTGCTAAGTGTTCAAGGGTAGATGTGGAGGATGTTAATTAGAACATCATGCAAAGCACCTATCTTCTATCTTATTATTATTACAATTAATCATTTGAATAAGGATTTCACCCTGAGGGAGGTTCCAAGATAATTTTGTGCTGTGAAACACATGAAGTGTTATTTAAAGTGGTGTTCTATCAAGTGGTTGATTAGACTTAACCTTTACAGACCAACTAGTTTGGTGGTATATTGAATAACTATGTAAGTACAGTTTTTCCAGTATGATACTCAGGATTTGTTGTTGTTGTGTTTGTTGGTTTTATTGTGCTTTAGATGAAAGTTTACAGAGCAAATTAGTTTCTCATTAAAAAATTAGTACACAAATTGTTTTGCTACGTTGGTTGCCAAACCTACGACGTGTCAACACTCTCCTGTTTTTGACCTCGGGTTCCCTGTTTCCATTTGTCCAGTTTTCCTGTCCCTTCCTGCCTTCTTGTCTTTGCTTTTGGGCCGATGTGCCCATTTAGTCTCGTATACATTGTTGAACTACATGTGTTATTGTTAGATGCCATCGAGTCAGTTCTGACTCATAGTGACCCTATGTAGAACAGAACGAAACACTGCCCGGTCCTGCGCCATCCTCACAGTCTTTGTTATGCTTGAGCCCATTGTTGCATCAACTGTGTCAGTCCATCTCCTTGAAGGTCTTCCTCTTTTTTGCTTACCTCTCCTTTACCGAGCACGATGTCCTTCTCCAGGAACTGTCCCTCCTGATAACATGTCCTAAGTATGTGAGATGAAGTCTCACTATCCTTGCTTCTAAGGAACATTCTGGTTGTACTTCTTCCAAGACATATTTGTTTGTTCTTTCGGCAGTCCATGGTATATTCAGAATTCTTTGCCAGCACCACAGTTCAAAGGCGTCAATTCTTCTTCGTTCTTCCTTATTCATTGTCCAGTTTTTACATGCATATGAGGTGATTAAAAACACCATGGCTTGGATCAGGTGCACCATAGTCTTCAAGGTGACATCTTTGCTTTTTAACACTGTAAAGTGGTCTTTTGTTTGTTTTATAGACCTGTCTAATCTTTGGCTGAAGGGTGAACTTCAGGAGTGACTTCAGTACTAAGTTAAAAGGGTGTCCATGGGCCATACTCTAAGGGTTTCTCCAGCCTCTGTCAGACCAGTAAGTGTGGGGTTTTTTTGTGAGTTAGAATTCTGTTCTACATTTTTCTCCTGCTCTGTCTAGGACCCTCTATTGTAATTGCTGTCAGAGCAGTTGGTGGTGGTAGCCAGGCACCATATAATTGTGCTGGACTCAGTCTTTGGACGCTGTGGTAGTTGTGTTCCATTAGTTGTTTGGACTAATCTTCCCTTGTTTCTTTGGTTTTTTTCATTCTCCTTTGCTCCAGATTGGGTGGAACCAGTAGATCTATCTTAGATGGCCCCTAACAAGCTATTAAGACCCTAGACGCTACTCACCAAAGTAGGATGTAGAACATTTCCTTTATAAAACTGTGTTATGCCAATTGAGCTAGGTATCCCCTGAGACCATGGTTCCCAACCCTCAGCCCAGTAACTCGATCCCTATGGGAGTTTGGATGTGTCTTTGAAGCTTGTATGACTTTGCATCGGTCACGTTCTGCTGACTTCCTCAGTATTGTGTACTGTCTTACCCTTTACTAAAGTTACTACTTACCTATTGTCTAGTTAATATTTTTCCCACCATACCCTCCCCTCCCTCGTAACCATCAAAGATTGTTTCTTTCTGTGTGCAAACCTTTCATGAGTTTTTCTAATAGTGGTCTCATACAGTATTTGTCCTTTTGTGATTGACTTATTTCACTCAGCGTAATGCCCTCCAGATTCATCCATGTTGTGAGATGTTTTGCAGATTCATCATTCTTTATTGTTGTCTAGTATTTTATTGTGTGTATGCACTGTAGTTTGTTTATCCATTCATCTGTTGATGGGCACTTGGGTTGTTTCCATCTTTTTGCTGTTGTGAATAATGTTGCAGTGAACATGGGGGTCCATATGTCTATTCATGTGCTGGCTCTTATTTCTCTAGGGTGTATTCCTACGAGTGGGATTGCTGGATTGTATGGTATTTCTATTTCTAGCTTTTTAAGGAAGCCATCATATTGTTTTCCAAAATGGTTTTACCATTCTGCATTCCCACCATCAGTGCATAAGAGTTCTAGTCTCCATGCAGCCTCCCGAACATGTGTTATTTTCTGTGGTTTTTTTTTTTCTTTTTTTGATTAGTGCCGTGTGTGTTTGTTTTTTTAATTGAGTTCCTATAGAACTCATAGCGACCCCACGTGACAGTAGAACTGTACCTTAGGGTTTTCTTGGTTGTAATCTTTACAGAAACAGATTGCCAGGTCTTTCTCCCTTGGAGCTCCTTGGTGGGATCAAACTGCTAGCCTTTCGGTTAGCAGCTGAGTACTTAACCGTTGCACCTCCAGGGCTTCCTATGATAGGATTAAACCCTGTTTATTAGTGTTAAGGGATTGGGCTCGAGGGGAGCCATTATTCTCCCATATTGATGAGACTTAACACTACAGCGTGGTTTTCCTATGAGTCGAAAATCAACTCAGCGGCATCCAACAGCAACAATACACATAGGACAATACACATAGGTCAACAGTTGCTGGATTGATTTCATACAATGTAAATTCTAAGTTATTGAAATAAGGGTTATAGGGAGAAAATCAAGTAGGTTCTTAGTATGTGAGCATAAAATATTAGATCCTTTTTTCTTATCTGTGTTAAATCAGAATTAAATATTTACAAAATCATTGTGCACTTAATGGTTGTATATCTAGAATGTTTGAAATTTTGCCTACAATAACCTTATATCCTTTTTGCATGCAGGGATAAAATGCAACCAAATAAATAGAATGTCACTTAGTCTTTGGGGACTTTAGAATGTTTGGTTTTTAATAATCTATTTTTCAAATATAAGTGTACTAATGACTATTAGGAGTTCCCGGGTGGCACAAATGGTTAAACACTGGACTACTAACCGAAAGATTGGTGGTTCAAAACTATCCAGAGGTGCCTTGGAAGACAAGCCTGGTGACCTGCTTCCTAAAGGTCACAGCCATGAGAACCGTATGGAGCAATTGTACTCTGCACACGTGGGGTCACCATGAGTCGGAGTTGACTTGATGGCAACTAACAACAACAATGACTATTAATTGGAGGGAGTTCAAAGGAATATCTGTATAATAAAATACAAATGGAGAAGAAAGGCAATATAAATGTCACTGGGTAGAAAATCATTAATTTGCCTCTTTTAATACCAAGGGATAATAATATAGTTATTGAGTAGAATGTAGGATCAGCTGTTCATGATACAGGCATCCTCATTTTATCTAAAATTCCTACCAACATATATTTAAAAATTTTTAAAACAGGCATAGATTCTTTTCTGAGGCAATTAGTTTGAGCTCTAAGTTTAAGTACTATACCTGTAAACTGCTTACTTAATGTATATGTTTTCTGTATGTCACTGGTTGAGTATGGCGATAGACTGTGTTACTTTTGCCAGATGTGTACAGTTAAGGATCTATAACTGTTTCTTTTGGGGGGAAAGTAGTTGGTATAGTTTCTAGGGCCTATCTTGACCATTGGAACTACTCTCAGTAAATATTAATTATTAAATGCCCTTTAAACTCTTTATTCCCAAACTTTTATGTAACAAAAAAAATGACTGAAGCACTAAATAACTAAAATAAAGATGTTAGAAGTGTTTACCTTCTCAAACGGAAAAACCTTTTAATGAAATTTAATTATTTTTATGGTTTATGGACTTGACCCTTGAAAGTTTTCTTCATGAGATTTAAATTTCTTTTTAATTATTTTTTCACTAATACTTCCTTCTACTCTTTTTCTTTTGCAGGTATGGCCTCACAAGTCTTGGTCTACCCACCATATGTTTATCAAACTCAGTCAAGTGCCTTTTGTAGTGTGAAGAAACTCAAAGTAGAGCCAAGCAGTTGTGTATTCCAGGAAAGAAACTATCCACGGACCTATGTGAATGGTAGAAACCTGGGAAATTCTCATCCTCCCACAAAGGGTAGTACTTTTCAGACAAGGATACCATTTAACAGACCTCGAGGACACAACTTTTCATTGAAGACAAGTGCTGTTGTTTTAGAAAACGCTGCAGGTGCTACAAAGGTCATAGCTCAGGCGCAGCAAGCCCAAGTAGAGGCACCTCAGGCAGGGGCTTGGCGAAACAGGTTAAATTTACTAGAAGGCTCCCAGCGATGTGGATTGAAGCGCAAGAGTGAGGAGTTGGATAATCATAGCAGCGCAATGCAGATTGTTGATGAATTGTCCGTACTTCCTGCAATGTTGCAAACGAACATGGGAAATCCAGTGACAGTTGTGACAACTACTACAGGATCAAAACAGAATTGTACCACTGGAGAAGGTGACTATCAGTTAGTACAGCATGAAGTCTTATGCTCCATGAAAAATACTTACGAAGTCCTTGATTTTCTTGGTCGAGGCACTTTTGGCCAAGTAGTTAAATGCTGGAAAAGAGGGACAAATGAAATTGTGGCAATCAAAATTTTGAAGAATCATCCTTCTTACGCACGTCAAGGTCAGATAGAAGTGAGCATATTAGCAAGACTCAGTACTGAAAATGCTGATGAATATAACTTTGTACGAGCTTATGAATGCTTTCAGCACCGTAACCACACTTGTTTAGTCTTTGAGATGCTGGAACAAAATTTGTACGATTTTCTGAAACAAAATAAATTCAGTCCCTTGCCACTAAAAGTAATTCGGCCCATCCTTCAACAAGTGGCCACTGCACTGAAAAAATTGAAAAGTCTTGGTTTAATTCATGCTGACCTCAAACCAGAGAATATTATGTTGGTGGATCCTGTTCGGCAGCCATACAGGGTTAAAGTAATAGACTTCGGATCTGCTAGTCATGTGTCAAAGACTGTTTGTTCAACATATCTACAATCTCGGTACTACAGGTAGGTAACAACAACTTCTGGGTTACACCCTCTCCTCACTTGTCGATGTGGTTAGGTTCCAAAGACCAGGTCGTTATGCAGAATTGACGTTATGAGAAAATGGAGGATGACTACCTCATCATATGACTGCCAAATTACATCGTTACATAACTGCCGAGGAGCCCTGGTGGCGCAGTGGTTAAGAGCTCGGCAGCCAACCAAAAGGTCGGCAGTTTGAATCTACCAGCTGCTCCTTGGGAACCCGATGGGGCAGTTCTACTCCGTCCTGTAGGGCCTCTGTGAATCAGAATTGACTCGACGGCAACAGATTTGGGTTTTTTTGGTTTAACTGCCAAACTACTGAGAATCATGGCTCAGCCAAGTTGACACATAATTTCAACCATCACAACCAACGTTACTCTCGCCTCGCACCTCAATATTGATTATTGTCAGGTGTACATCATTAATGCACAAAATAGACTTTTTACTATTATCGTAAATGCAGAATGTCAGATAGCAAGGTAGTTGATAAGTGAGGAGAAGATGCATTTAATAAATGTTGAATTTTGACTAATTAAATCATTTTGTGTGTATATGTGGTAAAAGAGACTGCTTTGGTTAAGGTTTAGATTTGAGGTTTTAAAAAGATTTTTAAAATCTAGGCATAAAATCTGCCCAAGTTGCATGCCAAAGACATCTGATTATTGTTAATAGAGAACATGAAAGAATGATAGGTGATTAATGATCAAACAAAAGTCTTTAAATGTTGGAAAGAGTTTCATAGGGTTCAAACAAAACAGATTGGAGTAGCAAGTCTTATTTAATATTTCATATAATTAGATTGTCAGAGTATTTTATGTGTAAACATAGCTACACATAATGCACTTAAATTTCAGAATCCTCCCACTTTGATTGGCTCCTTTGTACTCCCCCCTGGATATTTTTTCTATTTAATAAAATACAAGATTAACTTTTAGATCATTTTTTTCTGGAAAAATTATTTTATAATCTTATTTAACAGCAATGAAAAGATAAGTGTTTTTCTCTTCTTCCCTTTATACTGTATGGATTCTGTCTTAAGAGCTTTCAGTAGTCTGCTAGCATGTTATATAAACCCTGGTCTCCAGCTATTTGGGCTCTATATTTAGTTCACTTGTTAGTAAATGACTTCACTTTATTTGGGTCCTGCATTATGCTGCATATCAGATTTAGCTCTTTGTGATACCTAGGCTCCTTTTTTTGATTTAAAATCTTTTTTTTTTTTTTTACCTGGATAAGAAAACATTTGCCATTTCAGCAATCTTTAGATATACAGTTCAGTGACATTAAGTATATTCATCATGTTGTTCCAACCATCACCAGATTTGAAATGTTTTGGATGAAAGTGAAAAAGCTTTATTTAGTCCTTTAGAGAGCAATCTAAAATGCTAAATATTTTATTATAGTAGTTTCTAGCATTAGGCCTTTTCATGGGCCTCTGTTGGTAATATAAAAAATTAAAGCTGGGAATAGTTGCTAAATACAATTTTGAAGTTTCTAATTTGTGTTTATATATAAATTTCAGGTAAATACTTTACCTGACTTTCAGAATCTGTACAGTTGCTATGCTAAATTACAAGTTTTGTGTTTAAAGTACAAAATGAGGTTCTTATTTGTAAACAAAGACCAGGGCTAGCATTTTGGTTAATGTTGCCTAGGTAAAAAAATAGAAAGCAGACTTTATGTCAATTAGATTTAAGAGTTAGTGAATATTTAGATTAGTAAAAAGGTAGTATACTCCTTAATTACATACTGTTCTAATATCTAGTGTAATTTTGCATGAAAAAAGCAGGTAACCATTTTCAATATTTCTATTTTATGTTTGGAACCTTGCCAATTTTGGCTTGGCTTATGGCTAGGTTACTTATAAATCTGATTATGCAGTAAGCATAATGTCTTATACTTGGTTTTTTACTCTTTGTTAGAAATATATTGCATTTTAAAAATGAAAGCAGTAAGTGGAAATTTACCAAATTAAATATTTTTGAGCTAAGCACAGTAGGAACACATGTGCCCCAAATTCCAAGGTAAATGACTTGTGTTTAAACACAGGTTCATTTGTTACTCTGTTTCTTTGAACTGAGCCACACAGAAATGTAGTAGGGATATCTTAAAATAGATGGGGAACAGTGGCCAGAAATTGTTGACTACTATAGATGGTGAGGCTGTCTAGCTACTGCAGTGATATAAGCCAGAAGTACATGCTGAGGGCATTGATTTGCTCAAGGTCAGCATGTTCTAAATTCAGCTGCTTAAGTATGGTTTCTGTCAAGAGCACGTAGGGCTCTTGAATGCATATAGCAGCAGAAGGTGCTGTATTTATGAGGTGTAGTGGCAACATTGAGGTGATGGGTTTCTTGTTTTTTTTTTTTTGTTTTGTTTTTAAATATAGAACATTAGCCTGTGGTTCTGAGTCATTTCAAAACAGAGACAGGAAAATGTACTGTAAAATAACCCATATAAGAGTTATATTCTTTGCTATTTTCCTGAGTAGTTAAGCATTAATTGCTATTGAAATAAAAACATGCATGTAATAGGTGACGGTAAGGTATGTTATGGTAAATAATTTGGACGTATCAGTTCTTATTTAGGTTATTGCCACCTCTCCTGCTGTACCTTTGAGTATCAAAGATAAAAGTTCTTGTAACAGAATTGTTGTTTTGCAGTACTGTGGAGTCTGCTCTGACTCATAGCAACCCCATGTATAACAGAACAAAATGTTGCCAGATCCTGCACCATCCTTACAATAGTAGGTATACGGGAGCCCATGCAGCTACTGTCAGTTCATCTCATTGAGGGTCAACATCTTTTTCGCTGACCTTCTACTTTACCAAGCATGATGTCCTTCTCTAGGGATTGGTTGTAACAAAGTACACAGACAATTTCATGGAATAATAACTAATATTTTATACAGGGTACTTTATAATAGAACACTGTATATATATACTGCATTTCTTTTTCAGAGTGCTTTTACATATATTTTCTAGTTTGTTTCTGAAACAGCATCCCTATGAATTAGGTAAGACGAATAGTGGAATTCTATTTGATAAATAGGAAACTGAGACAGTTTTCTATTTATCAAAGTCTGACAGGCAGACAGATGCAAGCCAGGAAGGTTTAAATTCAGACTACAAGTTTAACTTGACAAATTTTTGTTGAGCCATTTTGGTGGCGCTTTGCTAGGTGCTAGGGATATAGAGGAGCCCTGGTGGAGCAGGGTTTAAGCGCTTGGTTGCTAACCATAAGGTTGGCAGTTTGAACCTACCAGCCACTCCGTAGGAGAAAGATGTAGCAGTCTGCTTCCATAAAGATTACAGCCTTGGAAACCCTATGGGGCAGTTCTACTCTGTCCTGTAGAGTCGCTATGAGTTGAAACTGACTCAGCGGCAATGGGTTTGGTTTTTTAGGGATACAGAAGTGACTAATACATGATTTAATGGAGGAGAAAAAGGAAATGCTAAAGCAGAGGTGTGTGCAAGGTGCTATGGAAACTCAGAGGAGAGCACTTAGCCTTATCAGAGGGTTCAGAAGGCTTCCGGGCAGAAATGACCTCTAAATGAGCCTCAGGAGGAGAGCAGAAGCCAGGATTGACTGGTCTTGAGAGGATTCTCTCTCACCAACCCACCCTTGCCTGAAAGGGCTCAGTATTGTGCCGAAATTGCTGGTAATTTCTTTTCTGTATCATAAAATAAATAGTTATTTTTGATTGAGAATCTTTATTTGACAAATACAAGGTTGTTAACTGGGTTTAGTTTTCACAGAAGTTTCTGAGAGTGGTTTTCAACACCGTATGTTGTGGCTACATAAATTGTTGTTAGGCGCCCTCGAGTCTGCTTCGACACCGTGACCCCCAGTCCTTGCCATCCTCACAATAGTAGGTATGCTTGAGCCCACTGTTGTAGCCACTGGGTCAGTTCATCGTATTGAGGGTCTTTATCTTTTTCTCTGACCCTCTACTTTACTAAGCATGATGTCCTTCTACGGGGATTGGTCCCTCCTGATAATGTGTCCAAAGTAAGTGACATAGATTACGATATGTCAGGCCTTCAAATAGAAATCATGGTAGAGCTCTTAAAGTTTTTTTTTTTTTGACAGCTTTATCGAGGTACAATTTATATACCATAGAATTCACCCTTTTAAAGTGTATAATTCAATGGCTTTTAGTACAGTGAAACCTGTGAGAGCTGGAACTTGACGGGACTGCATTGTTTTCCTGGGTCTCAAGTTTTTTGCCTTTGACAAGGTGCAGTCTTACCACTTTTCTCTATCTCCTTTTAGTGGAAAAGATTTGCGTTTTCTTTCTCTGACAGGTTTCCGCCTTATGCAGGTTCCATCTTTCACAGGTTTTACTGTATATTCATAGAGTTGTGCAACCGTCACCATAATAAATTTTAGAACATTTTCATCACCTCCGAAAGAAACCCCATACTCTTTAGCTGTCACCCCGTAGTGTAAGCCCGCCCCCTCCCCATTTCCCTCAGGCCTAAAAAACCGGTAGCCTACTTTCTGTCTCTATAGATTTGCCTATTCTGGACTTTTCATATACATGTAATCATATAAAGCATAAATGTAATCATATAAATGTAATCGTATGTGTTCCTTTCTGACTGACTTCTTTCACTTAGCATAATGTTTTCAAGGTTCATCCATGTCATAGCATATAACAGTACTACTTTTCATTGTTGAATAGTATTCCATTGTGTAGATATATCGCATTTTATGCATCCATTTATCAGTTGATGGAGACCTCTTAAAATTTTATCAGTGAAAAGATATGTGAGTAGAAAATTGTAATATGGTCAATAAGTCTTTCATTCAAAATATCTTTTTGGTGCCTATAAAACATAAGGTACTGTGCTGGGTGGTGGTTATACATTGAGGAACAGAACAAATGTACAGGTAGTCGCCAACTTATGACATATTCGAGTTAGGACAAACCACATTTATGACCATCTTTTTTTTTTTTTTTTGTACATCTTACC